CTCGGGTTATAATAAGGCAACTATACTTATAATTGCTTATAGCCCCAATGAAGGTACTTATAACCCTACTTACTAAGTCCCATGATCCTCCAAGTATTCCCCTGAGTGCCTGTCGAATGCATTGCTTAACTCCATGGAACTCCTCCTTAAAGGATCATGCGACTTAGTAAGTAGGCTATAATTGGGGTTATAAGCCCCTTAAGTGGGGTTATCCTAATTACAGCCTACTTCTAACCTTACTTACTAAGTCCCGTGAGCCTTTAAGTCTGCGACATGTGCAGCTCACTTCCTCGTGTGCTATGCCCTGCTGTTTCCTCGCACGGTACACCGTCGGGCTCATAACTGTTGATGTTATAAATCCTGCATTACCTTCAGGACCCTAAACTATGGTAATTATGGCATATTCCTCATTATAGGTAATGCAGGATTTATAGCAACCGTAAGCTGTGGTTTGTTTTGGGGGTTTGGGTTGGAAAGCAGCCCGGCGCCCTGACCGCTGAGCACTGATCCTAGATCCAAGCGGGTCGGCTGTGAGTGCACAGCCTGCAACAAATTTCGCACTAGTATAGGGCCATTCGGTTGTGAAAGTGCAGGAGGTGTTGATGACCTGAAGAGACGTCCAGCCGTTAATCATTCCACAAGTCGCTATACGTCAAGCAGAAGCTTTACTAGACTTGAAACCACCATAACTTACCTTAAGCCCTACGGTCCCAAACCCAAACCCCAAAACCCCAAAGCCCCAATACCCTCAAACCCCCAGAACGCTAAGCCCCAAAAGCCTTGGGCAAAAACCCTAAACCCTAAACCCTAAACCCTAAACCCCTAAACCCTAAACCCTAAACCCAAAACCCCAAACTCTAACCTCGAAACACTTAAACCCCAACCACCAAGACCCGAAACCTTGCACCTCAGACCCCAAACCTGTAAACCGAAAATCCCAAACCCATTAACTCATAGGGTTCCATATCCTAAGGCTTTATCATCGTATGTTAAAGGGGTTCCTTCAAGGGCTCATTAACGGGTTTCGGGTTTGAGGTTTAGTCAGGGTTTTGAATCTACTTGGAGGATCCCGGACTTTATAACTAAGGCTGTTTGAGGTCTTTATAGGGCTTCTTTCAGGGTGTTGCAAGGGTTTTTTAAGGTTTTATAGGGTTTGGAGGACTCAGCAAGTCAGGCTTTTAAGGACCTTAGTTGGAGATTTTAAGTAGTTGTAAGTATAGATACCTATTAACATCAACCCTGGTTGCTAAGTGCCATGACCCTGTATGTCTTTGTAAGGGTATTATTTCGTTTTGATAAGGTTCGATATGGCATTGCTTGGTTGGGTTTAGTGCGTTTCAAAGGTTAGTGGGATTTGGGGTTGGTGATCTTGCAGCTTCGGGCATGCGCCATTTCGTGTTTTTGGCTTCAGGACTGAAATAGCTTTAGGGTTCATGGTTTAGGGTTAGTTCGGATTTAGGGTTCAGGGTTTAGGGTTAGTTAGGGTTTAGGGTTCGCAGTTTAGGGTTTAGGATAACTTCCTCGCTAGGCTCGTGAGCCCACGCCATGGCTGGGGGAGATCGAAGCCCAACCCCTTAGGGTTTAGGGTTTAGGGTTTAGGGTTTAGGGTTTGGGGTTTAGGGTTTAGGGTTTAGGGTTTAGGGTTTAGGGTTTAGGGTTTAGGGCTTCTCAAGAACCCCCTTATACATGGCACCTGCATGAATGCTAGGCCCGGCAGCCCCAACTCCCCTGAGACCTAAATACTGATGATAACGCACCCACCTCCCAACAAAAGACTACCGCACACTCTTGAACCCTGAACTCTGGACCTGAAACCCTGGCCCTATAACCCTAGGGTAAAAGCCAGAAAGTTGGAATATGAGTATCCTGACCCTTCTATGGCAAATTATAGGGTATCCTACCATGAAACCATATTCCAATTTTCTGGATTTCCCTGTACACCCTTGAACCCGAACCCTGCTCGGAGGGTCGGGGGACTTAGTAAGTAGGTAGTAAGTAGACTTATAAGTACCCTAAAAGGGACCCTAATTGGGGTTATGGTACTTATAAGTCTCTAAAACAACCAGTTACTAAGTCCCCCGACCCTCCAAGTGAACTCTAGACCCGAAACCCTGGCCCTATAACCCTACACCCTTGAACCCGAAACCCTAAACCCTAAACTCTAAACCCTAAACCCTAAACCCTAAACTCTTGAACCCTAAACCCTAAACTCTAAACCCTAAACCCTAAACCCTAAACTCTTGAACCCTAAACCCTAAACCCTGAGCACGAAGCTCCAACTCCTGCAAGGTAACACAAGCTTCCGCTTGCAAGACTGTGTGTCCAGCCCGAACTTCCCAGAGCCCTACGACAACAACGACGCCTGCAGAAGCTAGGCCGCAATAGGGGTTTAGGGTTTAGGGTCAGGGTTTTAGCTTTCAATTCCGGGATTTAGGGTAGGGTTTGGCGTTTAGGAATTTAGGGGTTTAGGGTTTAGAGTTTAGTAGATGCTTCTTGCTTTCAGGAGGTTTGTCTGTCGGCCTGACGTAGGGGTGTCATGGATGTCTGTTAGGAGGGCTTGGTGACAGAGGTTAGAATGTAGCTTTTGTGGTAGACCCTAAACCCCGCCTAAAGATCGCAGTAACTTCCTTCTTTCTTCTTTAGAAGAAAGCAGGAAGCAGACCCTGCTTTAGGGTACTGGGTTCAGGGTTTCGTTTAGGGTTTAGGGTTCAGGATTTAGGGTGTAGGGGGCCCTTTGTATCTGAGGAGTTCCGCACGATGTCTGCACCTAAAAAGGATCCTCATGTAGAAAAGCCGCCACATCCCAATGGTGGTACGTAGAATTAAGTATAATTACCTTGTTGGTAGCCCTGGTTACTAAGTCCCATGATCCTTTCAGCAATAGTAACTTACGATTCACAACATCCTTGACCCTAAGCCCCTAGCATGAGCCCTTTGTGAAGCCGAACTCCTAAACCTAAACCTAAAGCCTTCAAGCCCCTGAAGCCCTACAAGCCCAACTCAACCCTAAACCCCAAACCATCCCCGTTTAAACACAAGAAGGAACAACTTCAAACAACCCCCCAGAAAACCCAATTTGAAGGATCATAATCAAAGCACTCAGTAAGTGGAGTTATTTTTAGGGCAACTATACTTATACAATTTCCATTGCGGCACTTATAATTAACAACCTTGCATAGCAAGTCGGATGTTCCCTAAACCCCTAAACCCTAAACCCCAAACCCTAAACCCGAAACCCTACACCCTAAACCCGAAACCCTAAACCCGAAACCCTAAATCCTAAACCCTATATAGGCCGTAGCAACGTTTTGCCAACCCGAAGCGTGAGCTTGAGGCATTCTCCCACAACGTGGCATGACCCTCGACGTCAGACAGGTGTCGACTTCCTGTAGGTTTAAACTAGGGTTCAGGGTCTGGGGTTTCAGGTTTCGGGTTTAGGTTTTGGGGTTTAGGGTTTAAGGATAATTTCGAGTGTATGCCGGTGTATAAAATGCATCCTTAGGGGTTAAATTTCTTAAGTCGGGAGAATTTCATTTAGGGTGGTGGTCAAAGTTATGGTCCCTTTTCGGGTCCCTATTATGATATGGCACCTTTATTTAGTGTACCCAAAAAGGGTCCTTCATTTTGATAACTATCCATTTTGGCTTCGAGGATGAGGCGAGTCTTGTTTCATTCCTGTGCTTTCGAGGCCGCTGCTGCTGGGAAGATCGCAGGTTTAGGGTTTGGGGTTAAGGGTTTACGGTTCAGGGTTCAGGGTTTGGGTTAGGGTTTAGGGTTAAGGGGTTTATAATAACTTTGGTTAGAGGTTTAGGGGTTTACTTGTTTTTTGTTTTATTTTTTATTTTTTGGTGACCTTGCAGTAGGGACAGCATGGGATGTCATGTGGGGTTAGGGCTTCCTTGTTTACTTTTGCGGCTTTGGGTGGTTTAAGCCCTAAACCCGAAACCCCAAACCCTAAATCCGTGACCCTTATGAGACCGGTTTAGGCTGCGGGGTTTGGGAATGCCGATGCTTCAGAGGTGAGTAACGCTCTGAATTCAGGGATGGTGAGGTTGATACAGCAGAGGATTTGGAGGTCCTTTAAGGGCTATATAGCATAAGCCCATAAGGATTCTGTAGGGTTTTGTAAGGGTTCAGGGCAATCCCAAGGAGAATCTGCAGAGGCTCCTGAAACCCACCTTAAACCCTACAGCCGAACCCTAAGTAGTCTAAGTATTCAAACGAAGCTTTCAAGCTTTCTTATGCCAAACCTATGCCTGAAGGGCTCAGCTGGGATCGGGGCTTAAGCAGGAAGCAATCGTGTCCCTTTGCTGAGAGTTCCCTCGTATACTTATGGCGCGTAGTATGAGGGGCCCACAGCTTGTCCCTACGCTACTTAGAGGATCATGAGAATTAGGAAGGGCGGTTATAAGTACCTCAATTAGGCTACACGTATTTACAACCATAGTTGCCTCAATAATAGGCTTCGGTACTATAAGTCCGCTGATCCTCTAAGCATGCGTTTGTCGGAAGGAGCCAGAAAATCCCTTCATTGTTATCACCCTCTGCAGCCAACTCTCGACAGCATGCGCCACTGTAGGGATCCTGGTGAATTTGCGTAAAGCTTAGCCTTCTACGAGAGCCGCGTGCCCCAAATCCTCGAACCAGAAAGACTTTTTAAGGCTCGGGCAACTTAAGGTTTAGGGTATAGTGTAGGGTTTATAACATCCTACTTGAAGGATCATGGGACTTACTAAGTAGGTTATAATTGGGGTTATGAGTCCCCTAAGTAGGGTTATCCTAACTATAACCTACTTATAACCTTACTTACTAAGTCCCATGAGCCTTTAAGTAGCTTAAACTACCCCTTATAGAACCCCTATATAGATCCCTTAACGGAGCCTTTCAAAGGAACCTACTTAGTAAGTCCCATGATCCTTCAAGTAGAGCACCAAGCCCCTCAAGAGTCCTACGGCCCCAACCCCAAACCACACGAATCCGAAACCCTAAACTGCCTGAGGATGGTGGCGGCGGTGGATTTTCAAACTGAAAGCTTGTTTGACTACCTGACGATAGAGTCGATCCGATCCTCGGTTTTTGGTTAGGGTTTAGGGTTTGCGGCCTTCTGAAGCCGGCAAGAGGCTTTAGCAAACGGGGCTGCGGGTGATTTAAGCTGGGGTGTTTACGGTTTAGGGTGGGGCTTGTAGGTTGTGGGATTTCGAGGGTTTAGTTTAGTGTGTTGAGGGATTGTCAAGGCTTCAGGGGTAGCTATGGCTCAGAGAGGAGTTCCAGTATCCATTGGTCTTACACGATTACACGGCCCCTTTTGCATCGAACGAAGCTGTCCTTGGCAGCTCTTAGCGGTTTGCATATGAGGGGCTAGGAGCAACAAGTAATAGTGCCCTCTTCTAGCCTTTGCAATTGGCCTCGAAACCCTGTTCTAAAATCAAGGCGCCCATAATTCTTAGGGTGGCTCAACCCTAAACTCTCTACGCTAAACCCCAAACCCCAAACCCGAAGCCCTCAACCCTGAACTCTGAACCCTAAACCCCAACCCTTGTGCATTTTGGGCTTGCAGGGGTCGGGCTCCTGAGGTCTGAGGTATAGGGTTTAGATCAAGGCCCGTGGTTCAGCGTTTGGAGGTTTAGGGTTTAGGGTTTAGGGGCTGGGCATGCTGTTCAGAGGCTTAGGATTAGGATTTAGTTAGTACCGTCGCGCAGCTATATCTGCAGTCTAACTGTTTATAGTTTATTCATCGTGGCTTCAGGATGCAGCTCTTGGGGGTTCCGAGATTAGGGTGGGCACGCCATGGCCCACCTAAAGTGTTCCCTTCCCCACAAGATCTGGTTTTTGATTCTAAGCTGCGAGAGCAGTCCTCTTTTTGTCCCAACCCCCTTAAACCCTAAACCCTAAAGTTAGATGTAAGAAAAACCGCTGAGACCGTAAACCCCAAACCCTAAACCCGAATTAAGCGAAAGCATGTTCACCTCAAGCCCGAAACCCTGAAAGTCCCAGGCTGTAAACCCTTATGCAATAGAACCCCCTTTGGAGGATCATGGGACTTAGCAAGTAAGATTAGAAGTACCTTAATAGAGGTTCACAGTAGTTATAAGTATAGCTGCCTCAAAAAAAACCCTAGTCCCATGATCCTCCAAGTTAAAACCATTAGAGGCGCCCTTAAGTTGAAGGGTTCAGGGTTTAGCTGAGGATCTTGGCCCGGGGTTTTTGCTTTCGGCTGTCGGTCTAGGCGATGGACGGATTCTACTTAAAGGATCATGGGACTTAGTAAGTAGGTTCCTTTAAAGGGCTCCTTTAAGGGATCTATATAGGGGTTCTACAAGGGGTAGTTTAGGCTACTTAGAGGATCATGGGACTTAGTAAGTAGGTTATAACTGGGGTTATAAGCCTCCTAAGTGGGGTTATCCTAATTATAACCTACTTATAACCTTGCTTACTAAGCCCCCTGCTCTTCCAAGTAGACCCTAAACCCTAAACCCCATAGATCCCTTTCAGGAACCCTATAGATCCCTTTAAGGAGCCCTTTAAGGAGCCCTTACTAAGTCCCATGAGCCTTTAAGTAGGGGGCTTTCTCTTTTAGACCCCCGGCTTTCAGCCCTAAGCCCCAAACCCTTGAGGGCTTCGGTAGGTTGGGGCTTTAGGTGGTGCTTGGAGTTTCGATTTCTGTAGTGGAGTGACTTCAAATCAGAGTTTAGGGTTTAGATTTTTGAGTTTAGGGTCTAGGAACTTCAAATCAGAGTTTAGGGTTTAGATTTTTGGGTTTAGGGTCTAGGATTTAGGGTGCTTGCGCAGGTTTTGGCCCACATGAAGCCAACTCTGCTTTCAGCTGCACTCATATTTGCGCAACATCTATGTACCTATAGCTACCCAGCATCTTAGCCCGTGCAGCTGTAGCTGAGCAATAAGAGAACCCTTGACGCCCCCGCCCCTCAGATCCCGAACATCACAAGCACAGCAGAGGCTCATCGCCCCTCTGGCCTTATGCGAAAAGTTAACCCGAACCTGATTATCTTAATCAGGTTCCTACATTACCATTCTCCGAATATTTCGAAGGTCTCTTTGTTCTTTGCGTGGTGATGGGTGACCCTAAACCCTAAACCGTGGTTGCGCCCACAGTTGTAAAGTGCTCCAGGCCGACAGCCACCTGGTGTTGCAGCTAAATGGGAGTTTCCGAAAATTAGGAGTACCTCATTTTGGGGTCCTTATAATGAGGATCCTACTATTTAGGGTACTATATTAGGGTCCCCTATTTTCGGAAGCCCCCAAATGCAGTCGAGGAAGACAACACAAACTTACAATATAAGGGGCCTTAAGAATTAGAATAGAATATTTTGGTGCCCATTATACTACAGTTGTAACAAGGAGACCCCCAACATAGTATAGGTAACCATTAAGGCCCTATACTAGATCCGTATAATCGCCCTTAATAGTGGCCCTTATATTAAGGCCCCTACTTGGAGGATTATGGGACGTAGTAAGTAAGGTTATAAGTACCTTAATTCGGGTTATAAGTATTTGTAAGTATAGTTACCTTACTTATAACCCAAGTTACTAATTCCCATGATCCTTCAAGTAGACCGTAAACCATAAATCCGTATAGATGCCTTATAGATCCCTGTGTATGAGCCCTTAAGGCACCCTGTAAGTTACTAAGTCCCATGATCCTAGAAGTACAGTACAGCCTTTCTTATAACGAGGCCGAAGGTTGACCCGGGACCTATCCAGCCCTACAGTTGGTGATATAAATCCTGCATTACCCCATAATAAGGAATACCAGTAGCCGAAAAGACCTACCTTTTTTTGGATGCTTTCTATGGTTTCCATAGATTGTTCCCTAAAAAGGTAGGTCTTTTGGGCTACAGGTATACCAGGATTCCCATAGTTTAGGGCCGTTAAGGTAATGCAGGATTTATATCATCAACCGTAGTCTTGCAGACTTTGAGGATACTCTGGCACGGACAGCCCGCAGAACGTCGAAGCACCTCGGGGGGTCTCAGGTATGGTTCGTCTTTTTCATGCCAAAGGGATGCCTCCACTTCGTGTCCTCACAGCGACCTTTATGGGGGTAAGAGGGAGGGGACTATACTTCCTGAAATAGGCTTTATTAAGTCCTTATTAGAGGACTAAGGCCGCCCCCTACCCCCCCCTCCCCCTACCCCCCTAAGGGTCCCTGTGATGTCCGTGCCAAGAGACTCCAAAGACGGTTCATGCTTTGAGTTGTTCATATGATTCAAAAATCCTAATGAAGCCCTAGGCAAAATCCTTCGTCAAGGGCTTGTCGGTGGAGTCTCTGGCCATAGTGTACTTGAAGGATCATGGGACTTAGTACGAAAGGGTTTAAGTGCCCGTAGTTAGGGTTATGAGCAATTGTATGTATTATTACTTTATTTGGAATCCTGGTTACTAAGTCCCATGATCCTTGAAGTAGCGGCTAATGTAGGGTTTAAGCAATTACCCCACTCTGCTGTTTCTTCGGGTTCCTTAGTGTGGTTGTACTATTATGCACCCCAGAACCCTATTGTAATCATTAAGACCCCAATGAATGAACCACTCCCCGGCTGTAGAACCCATATGCTAATAATTAAGGCCCTGGAACACAACCCTGAGCTCTGAAGCCCAAGCCCTAAGCGCTGAACCCTTACACCTAAACCCTAAACCCTAGACCGTAGTTTTCATGCTTCCCTCTGTGAATTTTGGCACGAGGGTTCAGAGCTTTAGAGGTTCGGGGCTCATGAAGCCCGAATTACTGTCTGGCTCTTAGTCGGGAATGGGGAAATGGATTATGGAGACTACTTAAAGGATCATGGGACTTCGTAAGTAGGTTATAATTGGGGTTATAAGTCCCGTAAGTGGGGTTATCCTAATTATAGCTTACTTATAAGCTTACTTACTAAGTCCCATGAGCCTTTAAGTAACGTTGGGGATTATCTAGGGACTTCTAAAGGGCTCCATTCCCCCTTCCCTACTAAGCACCAGGCAGACTAGCCACGGCTGGAGCGAGAGTCGCCCAGATGCCGACGTCCTCGGTGTGCCAGGGTCTGCCCAGAGACTCCAATATCCCTTAATTAAGGAATATTCCTTAAATCATATTAGGGATCCTACTATAATTTAAGGTATATTCCTTAATTAAGGGGTTTTGGAGTCTCTGGGTGCGAGCCTGACAGTTTGCGCCACTTCAGAATATCGCGCTACTGGCGAGGCACTATAGACCCTAAACCCTAAACCCCATAGATCCCTTTTAAGGAACCCTATACATCCCTTTAAGGAGCCCGTTAAGGAACCCTTGCTAAGTCCCATGAGCCTTTAAGTGCCGTTGAAGTAGAGGACGAGGAGAAGGCGGCAGAGGAAGGAGAAGAAGAAGCACCCGTGGCTGAGACGAGCTGCGTTCCATCTTAGTGGCTTTGGGTTCAGGGTTTAGTGTGTAGGGTTTGGGTTTTTTAGAGTTTAGGGTTTAGTGTTCAGGGTTTAGGGTAGTGTTGGGAAGGATGTGACGCAGGTGCCGGCGTGGTACACGGTGTTTGGGACCAGGAATCTGGCTGTCAGGGTGAATAACATAGGGTTTAGGATGAAGGCTTTTGGGTTCAGGGTTTAAAGTTTTTAGGGCTAAGCGGCTAAACCTCGTATCCTAAGCCTTAAACCCGTCCATCTCGAAGCCTAAACCCCCGACTCTATAATATAGGGGCGTAAAATAATTACCAACACTATGTTGGTGGTTCCTTACTATAAGTATAGTATAATGGGCCCCGAAACCCATTCCAACAACTGAGGCCCCAGCATGACAGAAGCCCGAAAAAGGGGGTGGGTTTTACTGCCCTTTGGATTTCCTAAGATGTGCCTCAAGGGACACGGTTTTTCCCCTCCGGTCTCACTTTGTGCGCTCTAGGAATTCGCCAACATCCAAGCACATGGTGCGATAATGTACCGCTCGACCGTTCTGACAGAATAACTAGGCCTCCCAGTGGGCCCTTTTTTCCTTTTGTAGTCCTAGGTTCCTTATAAGTTGCCCAATACCTAGCAGGAAGCCCTTTTATGCCTAGGTTACTGGGCATCCTAGATAATGCCCCAGAAGGAGTCTGGATCAGGGGGTCGGTGTGTGGGGTTTAGGGTTTCCGGACAGAAGCTTTTGGGCAGGGCTCGAGGTTAAGGGTCTAGGGTCTAGGTTTTTGATTCAGCCTTCCCTGTGGATGTGCACCCAGAGACTCCCTCAGTCAAGGATCCTATACCTTACATCATAACCAGGAGCCTTCATATGATTTAAGGTACATGTTCCTTAGTTCATACCCTAAACCCCAAACCGGTGAAACGGACTTTCGGCACATATCAGCCGCAAAAGGCAGCCACGGTGGCCGGAGGTCCCAGGCCTGGGCAGGCACCTAAAGCAATGGGCCCTGTGTTTGAGGTTGCCATGCAGCCGGAGGAATTCATGGCTCATCGGAGCCGGGAGGCGGCTCATCGTCTTCCATTCGGAGAAGGGGCTGTGAACGCTCAGGCGCCCTCGCCAACGAACAATGAGGTGCTTCAGGCGATACAGGTCCTGCAACGGGCCAAACCTCAGGACCTGTGTGTACGGCAGGTTGTTTCGTCCATTCGGCTTCTGCACATGCACATGCAGGATGTTCGTCTTCTTGAACAGCGTGTGCAAGAGCTTGAAAATAGTTTGCAGCGCTTCAACTACAAGCTGAACGAGCGCATCGTTGTGCACATGGAAATGGCACAGATCCTGTACCAGAGGATCGAAGGTCAGCCGCCTGCGACCATGAGGAGCCCACAGTGCCATCCAGCTGCTGGCTACCCGTACGTGGAAATCATTGTCGATGGGCAGGCAGCCCCAAACCTGAGAAAAGCACAAATCCTAGGATTTAAATGTAGACTTCGTTCATACCCCAAACCCTGAACCCTAGAAAGAGCCCTGAAGATCAGGGGTTTCGGAGTCTCTGGACAGGTTTTTCAGCCCATCACGTGGCTCAGCAATGCCAAGACTGCGGGTCAAGGGTGGCAGCTCTGTCGGGCGCCTTGGCTGAAAAACTTGTCATGGAGTGGACCCTAAACCCTAAACCCTAAGCCGGACCGGTAAAAGGCGCTAAACAAAAACAAGCCGTTTTAGGGTAGAAATCCCAGCACTAATCGTGCTAAGTCCATGTTCCAACTTCCTGGGGATCACTTTCTAGCCACTTAGGGTTATGGGTTCTTAAGGTTACTGTAGGATGGGTTCAGCGAACCTGTACGCACTGTCACTGATTTCTTCTCGACATCGCAATGTCGTGTCTTCAATACCTACTTCAATGGGAGTTCACAGCAAGCCAGACCCTTTCTCTTCCAAGGTTACTCTTGGATCTAGAAAAAGTCATGCCCCCAAGCAGCCTAACACGATACTATCGGGGCCTTCATAATTGCCAACACTATTGTGGGGGTTCCTTATTATGATTATGGTATAATGGGCCCCAAAACCTTTTCTAATGATTTCGGCCCCTATCCCTAATCAAAGCAATGCTGTCTTGGGAACTTCTTACGTTGATTTTGCTTCATATTTTGGCATTCGAGTCCTGAGATCACCGGAAAGCCCGGAGACCTGAATGCTTTCATGCCCTAAACCCTATGTTAAAAGGTTTGAACGCCGACGATCGCAAATCGGCCCGTCACTCTGATCCAGGAAGATCCTACTCTAACGGCTTTTGGCTTTTGAAGGCCTCGCATTTTTGAACCCCCATGAACCTAAACCTTAACCCCATGAAACCGCTTCTTCTGGACCTCACCTGCAGGAATCCTTAACCCTACTCCCCTAAACCCTAAACCCCTAAACCCCTAAACCCTAAACCCCTAAACCCAAGCCCTAAACCCTAAACCGTGGAGCAGCCTCCCCCAACCGAGTGGCGGCAGAGGTGTGTGAGTCGACCGAAGCACCAGGGAGCTGCGTATGCCAACGTTCGGGCCCCAAGCAGGACTGTTGCGGAGATTTGGCTTCCTTGGGTTTAGGGTTTAGGCACTTTGGGGTTGAGGGTTTAGGGTTTAGGCCACGTAACCCTGAAATATATTCTTTAGACCATACAGTTTACACCCGGCACTTGGTATGTAGATTCCAAATTATTCGAAATCGAGCGAGCCCGAATAAAGCTAGGTAGGACGCACAATGTATGTTGCCGACTATTCCTCAATGAAGTGATCTCCGGGCTGCCTGGCTTTGCGGTCTTTTCGTGATCACAGCACTATTCAAACCCGTCTGTAAAGACTATTCCCCAACCCTGCGCAGCTATACAACCGGTTCGAGGTGCATCTTGTCGGAAGCTCGAAGCCCGAAGCAAAAACCAGATGCTGTTGTCGAGAAGTTACCAAACCCTTACACCCCAAATCGCCCCAAACCGTAATCCTAAACCCTAAACCCTGAACTCTAAACCCTAAACCCTAAACCCTTCGTTCTTGGGGTCCAGGGTTCAGGGTCCTGGGGGTTTAGGGTTTAGGGTGACCTCTGAGGCGGCTACGAAGCCGCGGCCGGCGCCTGCCAGCAGTGCCGGCCCGGATACTTCAAGAAGAACGCGACTTGGGCTTCAAGGGGTCTACAGTGGGCCTTGCCTTCCAGGCCTGAATCCCAGAACCAACTAGGCCCCCAAAAGGTAAACCTTAAACATCCCTAAACCCTTAAACCCTTAAACCCTTAAACCCTTAAACCCTTAAACCCTAAACCCTAAACCCTAAACCCTTAAAGCCTAACCCCCTTAAACCCCTGAACCCTAAACGCCCAAACCGCCCAAACCCCCGAAACCCTAAACCCTAAACCCTCAAAACCGCTAAACCCCCAAATCTAAAGCTCTTCAAAGGCCCCCAAAACCCTTACAGATCCTTGAAAGGAACAGAGAATCCCGTAAAGCGGCCCCTCACCCTAAACCCCTAAACCCTAAACCCCCCAAACTTAAAACCCTAAAACCGCAAAAAAGGCCCCCAAACCTAAACCCCTAAAAACCCTTAAAAGGGCCCCCAAAAGCCCAGGCGTCGTTCATTCCGTGCTCTCCCTGCCCCGGCGGCACCGCGTCCACTGCGCCCGGCGCGCTCGCCTGCGCTCCCTGCGGACCGATGGGGCCCTTTTGGGGTTTAGAGTTTAGGGTTTAGGGGTTTAGGGTTTAGGGGTTTCAGGTTTAGGGGTTTAGGGTTTAGGGGTTCAGAGTTTAGGGCTGTTTTCTCTAAGGGTTTAGGGTTCAATTTTTGGATCTATGAGGGTTTAGGGCTCCTTTAAGGGAGTCTCTATGGGTTTGAGGTTCCGTTAAGGGATCTGTAAGGGTTTAGGGTTCTCTGTTAACGGATGCTTTAAGAGTTCGTCTATCTAAGGGATCTTTTGAGGGATCTATAAGGGTTTAGGGTTTGGTTGGTTGGGGGTTTAGGGCTTGGGGGTTGGGGTTTGGGTTTTGGTGTTTAGGGTTCAGGGGTTTGGGGGTTTGGGGTTCCTTTGAGACTATCCCCGCATAGAAACTCGTAAAGTTATGTAAAAGATTCAGAAAAGACTCCAAACTTTTCGTCTATCTTTTCCTCTGTGAGCTAAAGGGATGAGGGTTTGTTGTTGTGCTTGTGCTGTCAAGGTTTTAAACCAACCCCCCCCACACCCCGAACCTCTTCAATTTCGCGAGGTCCAGCATGAATCTTGGTCTTTAAACCTCAACAGCCAGGGTTTAGGGTTCAAGGCCTACAGGCCTTAAGGGTCAAGTTGAGGAAGGCATTCCACAAGTCAGCATTTCAACGAGTTTTTGAACTCTTGATTTCAATCCTGATCATGGTGTTGGATTCTGGTTTAGGAGTTTAGGTTGCAGGCAGGGTCTATCGCGTGCAAAGCTTGTACTCATAGGGCTTGTGAGGGTCTGCCGTGCCCAACAATTGGGCATGCCACCAAGTCTGTGGCGCGATAACTTCGAGTCTTTGTGAGCGAGACTCGAAGAGCATCGTGTGGTCTTGCCCTGAACCCTAAACCTTAAAACCCTAAACCCTAAACCCCTAAACTCTAAAACCCCTAAACCCCTGAACCCCTAAATCCCTAAGCCCCTACTGTAAACCCTTAAACCCTGAACCCCGTCACTGGTCTTGTCCTGATGGTATTCACTCCAAGGGTAGAAGGAGGGACCCTTAATAAGGACCCCTAGGTATATACCCTGAAATATAGCTATGATATACCCATTCTATAGCCCATTATAGGGTAGGTGTCCCCATTAAGGGTCCCTCCTTGTCCCCTTTGATATCATTCAAAACACCATGAAACCCCATAAGCCCCTTTAGCATACCCAGAGCCTCCAAAACCCTTAATTAAGGAATATACCTTAAATCATATAAGGGATCCTATTATAATTTAAGGTATATTCCTTAATTAAGGGGTTTTGGAGGCTCTGGGTACACAGGGGAACCTCAGGGCGATAAGATACTCCACGAACAGCACTACCCAGGCCCGGGCCGGGCCCAGCACTTGCCTGGCTTATGGGCTGCACATCGAAAAGCACTTCTTTGGGAAGATTTTCAGGGTTTTAGGGTTTAGGGTTTAGGGTTTTAGCGTTTAGGGTTTAAGGTTTAAGGTTTTTAGGGCTTAGGGTTTTAGAGTTTAGGGTTTAAGGTTTAAGGTTTAGAGTTGAGGGTTTGAGGCTCTGCCCTGCACCGTCGTCTCGTGGAGGGCAGTCGGTCGGACACAGACGTGCACTGTTGGCCGAAGTGGTCTCCCGCCGAGATTAGCTATGCTTCTGCGCTGCGTTACCTGAAAGCTTACAGTCCTCAACCCCAAACCGGAAAATCCAGACCCTGAGCCCAAAACCCTAAACCTCTAAACCCTAAACCCTACACCCTAAACGCTAAACCCCTAAATCCTAAACCCTAAACCCCTAAACCCCTAAACCCTGAGCCCCTAAAGCTTCAAGACCCGTCTCTGCTCTGCGGAGGAGTCGGCGAATTTTCAACCCCCGGCGCAGCCGCTTGCGAACTCTGTCCGGCAGGTCGGCATCTAGGGGTTCGCGGTTCAGGGTTTAGGGGTTAGGAGTTTGGGGTTTAGGGTTCAGGGGTTTAGGGTTCAAGGGTTCCTTTAAGGGATACTTGAAGGATCTTCAAGGGGTCCTTTCCTAGGACCCAGACTCCGCCCTTATTCCCTTTTTCAGCTTTTCTTATAACACCCTTTAACCCCCTAGGATACTTAAGATTGTGTCCAGGCATAGCATCGAAGATTCCATCAAACTGTATTACGGTTGATGATATAAATCCCCTGCATTACCTTATTAATGACCCTAGTCTATGGGATTATGGTATATTCCTCATCAACTGCATCACCTGTGCAAACCCATCAACATCTTGTAGGATCTTCTTGAACTCTGATGTTTTGCAATCTCGGTCGCAGAATGCCGGGTATAGAAGTGATATATATATATATATATATATATATATGCGCATGAACAATCATATAGCTTAATTTTTAGTTGCAACTGCATAAATAAATAAGTATGAATATATAGATATATGTATGTATGTACGTATGTATGCATGTAGGTATGTATGTATGTGTCTATTTGTTGGTTTATTTCAACCCGAGGTAACGAAAGGGCTTACAGGCTTCTTACGGGAATTGTACAGACAATTGGAATGGGTTTTGAAAGGATGTTTGCCAGGGTTTGGTGGTTAAACTACCGCAGCCGACTTTTTGTAGGTTCTTGTTGTGATCCCGAATATGGGAGTCATAGGGGCCCTACGAGAAAGTAGGTTTCGGTAAGTTGAGATAAACCAAAAGCCCTACTCCCTAATCCCAAACCCAAACTAGGGATCCCCCTTGTCGGGCCCTTTCCTACCACCGCTTTGCAGGCCGCTATGCGATTTTTCCACAGTCCCCGTTGCCGCTCGATCTGCTTGGCATTGGTGGTGTAGCTGGTCAAAAGGGTTTAGGGCTTTAGGGTTTAGAGCTTTGGGTTTAGGGTGTAGAGTTTAGGATTTGGGGTTCAGGGTTTAGGGGTTCAGGGTTTAGGGTATCGGTAGAGTAGGGATGTGCTCATGGCTCGACGAGCGTCGTCTTTTCGCGAGTGCTAAATACTTGCTGTCGCCTGCTTGGGGTACGAGAATGCCTGTGCGAGTTTCCGAAAATTTGGGGTACCTGTAAAGGGATCCATAAGGGTTCCTTTAAAGGGATCTATAAAGGGATCTATAAAGGGTTCTATAAAGGGTTTGGGGTTTAGAGTTTCCGAAAATTTGGGGTACCTTATTTTGGGGTCCCTATAATAAGGATAAGGATCCTACTATTTAGGGTGCTGTACTATGCAGGGTCCCCTGTTTTCGGAAGCCTCTGATATACACTCCCAAAGATTAAGCTTTAGTTCCTTTAGGATTCTGGACAAGTAAGAATACAAAGACACACGACTCTCGCTAAAGCCTAAGCCCTTAACCCTACACCGCAAACCCTAAATGTAAGGCTTTAAGGGAACCCTGAATTCTAACTGTTGAGACTCCTAATGCCTCAAAGATGGGGCTTGGGATTTAGGGTCTAAAGTTCAGAGTGTGCGGTCCAGTGTTTGGGGTTTCAGGTCTTGGGTTTTAGGATTTCATGATTTCCGGGTTTAGGTTTATAGGGTTTTCCTGGACCCTAAACAACCTGCCTTCTTTCGGGGTTCCTGAACAATTTCCATATATAAGCGTTGAAAAAGGTAGGTCATTTGTGGTCAAGGTGGGGTTTAGGGTTTTTTGTGGTTGTGAGGGTTCAGGGCTTTGACGTTCTTTGTATGGCTGCACCCTAACCCGAAGCCTAATATGCGGGCCTGAATCATTAGAATAGGGTTGTGGGGCCCACTATACTATACTTAGAAAAGGAACCATCAAAACTGTATTGGTAATTCTTTAGGCTCCTATATGAAACCCAAAGCCCCTAAGTGCTACATGGTATACACTGCGGGTTGTTTGCGTCGGAAGATCGGTTTTCCAGCGAGAGTGAGCCGGCGGTTGTTGTCGGTTCTGGTTCTGACTTGATGAAGATCTTCTCATACACACATGTGTATATACTCTGAATGGCCTCTGATTGTGGTAGGACCTTTAGTTGGATGTTTGCAGGATTTGGTAGCTGGGGTTTGTATAAGTCATGGTCAGTTTTGCTACCCCAACAATAATCTCTAAGTAGAAGAACCCCACGTCCCCTCGAGGGTGTGAGGGTTGAATCTGAGTTGCTGCTTCTTTGAGCGCGCGTGCGTTCCCACTCTGTACCACCTCAGGACACAAGGATTCGGCATAATTTTCCCTTCGGTAAATGTAAGCTAGTAATTAATAAACGAAGAACTGCAACTGCTTGTTTAAATATAAAGATGGCAAACGAACAAATAAGTGTACGTATATACATATTTACGCATGCATACGTACAGTATGCATATGCGTAAATAAATAAGTATATATATATATATATGCATACACGCATGTAGTTGTTGTTGCTATTATTATTGTTTTTACTATTGGTAAGTGTGTGTGTGTGTATAAATGCATATATGTATGCATGCATGCATGCATGGTTGCGGGTATATAGGTATGTATGCATGTATGTATGTATGTGCGCATGTATGTATGTATGTCAGTAAGTATTCGTGCATGCAATGCTCTCAATGTATGTATGTATGCATGCATGCATTTATGTATGCATGTATGTATGCACGTAGGCATGCATGTATACATGTAGCTGCACAGTATGTATATGTATGCACATATGCATATCCATATGTATATGTGCATGTTTATGCCATGTACAAGGATATGTATATGTGCTTGTACATGTATATGCATATGTATATGTATATGTCGATGTATACGTATAAGTCTATATATGTATGTATGTATGTATGTATATAAATACATGTGTATATATATATATATATATAAATATGCATATATATATATATATATATGTATGTTTATATGTAGATTTAGATGTATATGCATATGTATATGTATATGTGTAGGTATAGGTATAGGTACAGAAGTAGGTATAGACAAAGGTTTAGGAATGGGAGTAGGAAGAGGCATAGGAATAGGAATATGAGTATGGATACGTATGTAGCTTTGTTCTAACGAGCAAGCCTTGTGTTCAGCCCCTGCCCCTAAGTGAGTCCAGCTGAGGTGTACAGAGTGCCAACAAGGCATCGAATATCGAGCGTCTTCCGGTTAGGAATTGTCCTTCGATGTGTTTTGTGCTACCGGCTGGAGCTGAGGGGTTAGGGATTTAGGGTTTAGGGTGTAGGGTTTAGGGGTTGGGGGTTCAGAGTTATCCTTCTGTGGATACATAGTCACGAGGGAGATGCCAAAAGGCTGGCACGGAGGCTTCTGAACAGCAAGAAGATGGACACAAGAAATCCACGCTATCTAGGCCGACCTCAATAAGGACCCTTAGGTATATAGCTATTACATGCCCATTACAAAGCCCATTATAGGGTAGGGGTCAGGCGAAAGCGACTTCCGATCGAACCAGGAAGGAACACGATCTGATTCGAAAGTTCGCAGGAGTTCACAGGGTTACAGGCAAGGTTTCAAGGGTTTGCCGTGGACTAGTGCATAGGCGATGGTCTCTTGCGACAAGGTCGTGTCGAGTGCATCGTACTATAATTAACTATACCGGTGTTTTGTCACTACTTAAAGGATCATGGGACTTAGTAAGTAAAGTTATAAGTAGGTTATAATTAGGGTAACCCCACTTAGGGGACTTATAACCCCAAATATAACCTACCTACTAAGTCCCATGATCCTCTAAGTAGACCCTTACTGACCCCGCGGCTTTCTGCAGGCACCTACAGCACCGTCCAGGGAGCCTTTGATCATGCAGTCTGCATGTGCCTGGGCGTCTCCATTGCAGGATCTCGGGTTCATGGTTTAGGATGTGGGACTTACTGTTGATGATATAAATCCTAGGGTTCCTTTAAAGGGATCTATAAGGGTACCTTTAAGGGGCTGCTTTAAGGGATCTATAGGGTTGTAGGGTTTTTGGTTGATGTTATAAATCCTGCATTACCTTAAGGACCCTAAACTATAGGAATTATGGTATATTCCTTATTATGGGTAATGCAGGATTTATATCATCAGCCGTAGTGTCTGCAGCCCAGCCGACATGCGTTTGCGTCTGATGCTATGCTGGATCATTAATCGTAGTCTGCACTGGTTCCCTGCTCTGTCTTATGTGGGAGAGTTCAGCGGCTGACGGCATTAAAAGTGGAAAAGCTAAGGTGTGCTCTAAACCCGTAAGTTCGCTAAACCCAAACTCAGCTGCGCACTCATAACTGATGCGCCCAGATCTACGACACGTCACTATAACTTAAGCAAGACGTTGAGTCCTAGCCACTTGTCGGGCCTCAATCCTGAACCCCACGTGCCAACAGTAACATAAACCCCGGCCTCGAGCATCACCCCAACAAAGAAGTTTAGGGTTTAGGGTTTCGGGAACTTTTGGTAGTCGTGTCCCGTTCGCGCTCCTGCATAGTTGTGTTCTAGCATGCCCCAGAACTTGCATCTAATTGTGCAATCACCGCGCTTGAAGCCCGTTAGTGAAGAGATCCTCAAGGGAGACACTGGGGAACTGCAGGGAATTTTAGGGAGCTTTTGAGAATACTAGGGAGAATGCAAAGTTGGCAGAAAAGCATGTCCACAAAAACCTGAGGCTTTACCCCCCCCCCCCCCCAAACCCACAAAAAAAAAGGAAGAGAAAACAAAGGCCCTAGAACCGAAGCCTGACGTCCTACAATTCCTAGGCCTTAAACCCCAAGCCCCTTGAACGAAAAGACCTTCAGGCCATGCCCGGAAGGTTCCACAACCCTCCGGGCCGGCGCCAATGCGTCCTCCGAATGCGCCGTGTCGAAAGGGAGAGTCGGGCTTGTAGTACAGGGGCCTTAATTTAAGGTCTACTGAAGGGATCCTGTGACTTAGAAAGTTAACGGGTTCTTCAAAGAGCAAACCCTAAACCCTAAACCCCTAAACCCTAAACCCTAATAAACCCTTAAACCCCTAAACCCCTAAACCCCTAAACCCTAAACCCCTAAAGCCTAAACCTTGTTCTTCAAAGGGCTCCTTAAAAGGCATCTGTCAGGGACCTAAACGAAGTGGCGAGTCGGGCTTGTAGTACAGGGATTTTAGGGAAGGACCTTTAAAAAGACATAGTTTATAATTTATGAGGATATCCCTGGCTTATGGGGCCAAATGTGAGGGGATGTACATGGGATATTTCGGGATATCCGTATCAATTTTTTTGCTAATGGGGGCTTACTAGTTGGATTGTGGTTCCTTGAACGGGTCTACAAGGGTTCTAAAATAGGGGATTTTTCGGCTATGGGGGCTTCGGTGATGCAGGTAGTCCCTAAAGGATCCCGGGAGTTGGTAACCGAGGTTGTTCTTAGGGCTCTTATAGTTTATAGTTACTTCTATCCCCAATCAAGGTACTTATAACCTTACTTCCTGAGTCCCATGACCCTTCAAGTAGGGTTTGAAGGTTTTGTGGCAGTTCTGTAAAGGTTCGAAAATGGGGGGGATTTCGGCCGGCAGCCCTAAGGAATAGTATTGCTGATTTTTCAGGCCCTTATAATATCGAAACCCTGAAGCCAGAAATGCTCATTCTTCATTTCTGTTGAGTAGTATATTATACTACTCAACAGAAATGAAGAATGAGGATTTGTGGCTTCAGGGTTTCGACATTTGGGGAGCTTTTTTCAGGGATGCGTGGCGGATCATGAGAGGCAGCATGTAAGAATATATGTACTTAAAACGGGCCACAGGGTGTAGGGTTTGGGAGTTTAGAGTTTAGGGATTAGGGTTCAGGGTTGAGTATAGCCACCTCAACAACAGTTACAAAAGATTTAGAACCCGAAGCCCCCATAGATCTCTTATAGATCCTGTTTACGGAGCCGTTTAGAGAACCCGTTAAATCACTAAGTCCCACGGTCTGTTAAGTACCGGCGGGAAGCGCCACCTCATCTGGCTTAGCATTGAGGTGTATATTATAAGTAGAGGCCTTACCGCTTGAAGAAGGGTTTTGGGGATATTTTACCGCAGTGATATGAGATAGTACCTTTATTCCGACCCCTATAGCAAGCTCAGGCTTTGAGGTTTATGGTTGTGCAGGATATCTCTTCTATATGCGGCGCGAATATTGGCTCTACCGCGGATAGTCCTAAAGATGCGGGCTTCTGCAATACCGAGACGGACGTCTTCGGGGCCCCCATGGAGAGAGACAGTGTCTTGGAGGGTGGGCATGCGAAAGAATTCATGCGAACACTCCCAGGCCTGAGACCGGGAAGTATTGCAGAGGCCTCAAGAGATTCAATAGGGTTTCGGGGCCCATGATACTACAACTATATTAAGAAACCCCTAAAACAATATTGGTAATCATTGAGGCCCCTATAATATTGAGTCCGTGGTCGTTTCCGCCCAACGGGGACGAGAGCGTTCGTGCCGCCGAGGGGACGGGACTGGTTGACCCCCAGACAACAAACCCCAAACCCTAAACCCTATACCCTAAACCTGCTTGGAGGGTCGGGGGACTTAGTAAGTAGGTAGTAAGTAGACTTATACGTACCCTAAAAGGGACCCTAATTGGGGCTAAGGTACTTATAAGTCCCTAAAATAACCAGTTACTAAGGCCCCCGACCCTCCAAGTGAATCTATAAATCTTATCCCCCCATGCGTAGTTCTTTAAACTTCTGTCCCTTGTAGAGTCCTTGATCTTATCCCCTCCATGCGTAGTTCTTTAAACTAGGGTCCCTTCTAGAGTCCTTTTGCTATTGGTGCCGCTCTTGTAATAATTTAGGACCTGAAGGGACCCAATTTAGAAAAGCGACTGTAGTGGCCGTAATGATTAGAGTAGGGGTTTGGGAAATATCATACTATGACTATAACTGTAAATCAAAGCCACCGAAACCATATTCTGATTATTAAGGCTCCTATACTGAACCCCCATAATACCCCTTGTAGAAATCCTTATAGACCCCTTTAAAAGGAGCCCTGCGCAGAACCCTCAGGTATCAGCGTCAACAGCGAGCAGCTGATGTTTTGCACTTCCGGCCGTCCCTGCGCCCCGACGAATGGTTTAGGGTTTAGGGTTTAGGGTTGGTATCTTTTGTGCCTAGTTTACGTGTTGATTACGTTTTTTTGATTTTTTGAGCTTTGTATATCGAGTTCTGCTATATTCGGGTTTTCAGGGATCAGGGTCAAGGATTCCAGGGTTTGGGGAGGGTCGAGCATTTGGGGGGTGGTCTAGGGGTTTTTGCACCCTCAACCCTAAACACTAAGCCCTAAACATAGAACCCCATGCCTGCCCGCGTTGTATGTCAGCAGTCGACACTGGACCCGTCAGCAGATTCCTCAGCTGCTTAGGGTTTAGGGTTCAGGGATTAGGGATTCGGGTAGGGATATGTCGTCAGGTTTTGGTGAGTGTGGGGCTCCTGAATTGGCGCGCTTTTTGACTCAGGAATCATAGCCTGGGTTTTGGACTACCAAGCTTTAACACTTCTTTTTCGGACATCTTCCTTCAACCGTAACCATTGTTTGTTATAAAAGTGTATGCCTTTCTGTCCGTGGTTACTTCAAAGCTCGCTGAACCTGAAGACTGGATCCTAGGCCCTGGACCCTTAGCCCTAAACCCTAACCTCGACCGTAGACCCTAGCCCTACAACCCTACCTAGACCCTATCCTGGACCCCAAACCCTACTGGAGGAGCCTCAATGGAAACCCATGGCCCTATAACCTCAAAATGTAAGGACCCATGTAAAGAACCCTAATAAAAAGACCAGCGTTTCTTAATCAGGTTCCTATATTAAGCCTTTAAACCCACATCTTAACCCTTAACCCTAAACCCCTAAACCCTAAAACTCTAAAACCTAAGCCCCTAAGCCTAAACCCTAAACCCACAAACCCTAAACCCACAAAAAAATCCTAAACCCTAAAATCCTAAAGCCCTAAGCCCTGAACCCTACAACTCTCAAACCCTAAACCCTACACCACAAAAAAAGCCCTAGACCCTACAGCTAAGCCCTAAACCCTGCAACCCTGAAGCCTTAAACCGTCTAAACCCCTAAGCCCTACACCACAAAAGAGCCCTAACACCCTAAACCCTAAGCCCTACACCACAAAACAGCCCTAACACCCCAAAGCCCTAAGCCCTAGGCCCTAAACCCTACAACCCCTAAGCCCTAAGCCCTACAACAAAAAACACCCCTACAAGCCTAAACCCTCTAAACTCCCAGAACCCTAAACCCTAAAACCCCAAGCCCTAAACCCTCAAACCCTAAACCCTACAACCCTCAAACCCTAAACCCTCAAACCCTAAACCTCAAACCCCAAACCCTAAACCCTAAGCCCTACAACACAAAAAACCCTACAACCCTAAACCCTCCAAACTCCCAGAACCCTAAACCCTGCAACCCTCAAACCCTAAACCCTGCAACCCTCAAACCCTACACCACAAAACAGCCCTAAACCCTACGCCACAAAAAAAACCCTACAACCCTCCAAACTCCCAGAACCCTAAACCCTAAGACCCTAAGCCCTAAGCCCTCAAACCCTAAACCCTACAACCCTCAAACCCTAAACCCTAAGCCCTACACCACAAAAAAGACCCTAAAACCCTAAACCCTAAGCCCTACAACACAAAAAAACCATACAACCCTAAACCCTCCAAACTCCCAGAACCCTAAACCCTGCAACCCTCAAACCCTAAACCCTGCAACCCTCAAACCCTAAACCCTACACCACAAAACAGCCCTAAACCCTACGCCACAATAAAAACCCTACAACCCTTCAAACTCCCAGAACCCTAAACCCTAAAACCCTAAGCCCTAAATCCTCAAACCCTAAACCCTACAACCCTGCAACCCTAAGCTCTCTAAGCTCCCAGGTGTCATCACGGGAGTGGAGGGGAGCGCTCTAAAAGATGGCCACCTGATGGTCGCCAGGATGCAAAAAAAGAGTTGAGGGGGTTTAGGGCTCAGGGGTTTAGGGTTCTGGGGTTAGGGCTTTAGGGTTTGGGGTTTTAGGGTAGTTTGGGGTTAAGTTAGGGTGTTAGGGCCTTGAGAATTACACTAAGGCTCTAAGGACTCATATTTCAAGGCTTTTGGGCCTAAAGACCACATTATGTAAGGCTTTTGGGCCATGTTGAGCCTTGAGAATTAGAACAGGGTTCCATTACAGGCGTCTCTATAAGGGCTGCTATAAGGCTATGGTCACCAGGATGCAGCTCAAAGTTGAGGGGGTTTAGGGCTTTAGGGCTTAGGGGTTTTAGGGTGGAGGGTTTAGGGTTCTAGAGTTTAGGGCTTAGGCTTTAGGGTTCTAGGATTTAGGGGTTTAGGGGTTTAGGCGTCTGGCCCGAGCGCAGGTGAAGCTTAGCGTCTCCCGTAGGAGTTTGCTTAGCTTCCTGTGTATAGCAGACCCCAGCTTGCTATAAGCGCTCCGACTTGCTTGGACTGTCTGGCTCGTCGGATTTCGAGGGAGCGCTCCCTCCCCACACTGGTTGTCGCTGCCTCGGCCGACTGCCGGTAGTGGTTGGGCCCCTGAGGGCCGTATGAGCAGGGCCAGAACCTATTGGCCGTTGTTCCCGCTTGCTGGTTTTGGATTGGTGCTACTGATCTGGGGCAGCTGTGGCGGGGAAGGTGCCTTGGAAAAGGGACCCCAGTCCCCCTTGGCACAGAAGGCGTCGGAGAGCTCGAGCGAAGGCTCGACGTCTCCTACGCGCAGGCAAAGTCTCGGCAGTCTCTCTACGTGCTCTTGCGGGGCATCACGGAAGCATGGCCCCGAAGACTTCCGCAAATTCGCAGCCTCCCAAGAATCTGGGGGGAAAACAGAAAGGACGCGGCGATCAGCAACCGCAGCAAAGCAAGATCGAATTTGGGTTGCCGGGCTCTGTTGCCCAAGCCATCCAATCGATCTCCAACGTGCGACCCAGGATCTTTGGTCAGCTGCCTCAATTCCTGTCCTGGAAGGTACGGCCGAGCAGAGCCTGCAACGTCGCACAAATATGACCAACAAGTTGTCCAAGAGACTTGCTGGCAACAATCGCGCGAAGATCGACTTGGCAGTGGCACTTCAACAGTGGTTCATCCAGATGAGTCAACATACGATCGGTCTGCTGGCGCAAGTGCGCGCCCTGGGGCAGCGGTTGGACGAAGACACGGATGTGGCAGCGCGGGAGATGCGGAGTATCCTCGCAGAACAGCCTTCCGAAACCACTGCTTCGCAAGTCGAGCGAGCCCTCGCTGGCCAGGGACCGATCTGGATGCCGATACAGGAAAACGAGGTCATGCAGATCGCAGCAAGGACCCGGGCCTTTGGCATGGTGCAAACGGCTCCCCATGGTGGCGTTTCGGATGGAGTGAGTGGCCCTCCATTAGCCACGTTTATGGCCGATCTCGATGGTCCACCCCTTCGCGGCACTGGAGACATGGGATCGGAAGCCAGCTTTGGCGCTCCGAGCTTGACAACACCAGTCGTGTTGCCGGCAGCAGTGCGCGTAGAATCACAAGGCAGTGGGGGCGAGGGGATGCTCCCTGGCCCGTCAAGCACTGTTCCTGTACCAAGTTGGCTCTCGGAGTACACAGGAAGTCACATGTCTGCAGCCCCGGCTCCTACAGATGGTGGGGGAATGGGAGGTGGACGTGGCGGCCGTTGGCGGAAACGAGGCTGTGGTGCACCCGACCGGCCGTCAAAGAGTCCTCGCCGCGAAGGTTCGGATGTCCCGTGGCCGACCACGGCTACAGGCTTGACGCCAGAAGGTATCGCCAGAGTCCCGCAGACTCTGATCGCGGAGGAGGACCCCGAGTTGCTACCAGCGCGAGAAGCAGTACCTCCTGTAACTTGGTCCCAAGCGTGGTTGCACATGCTGCGCTTCGCCGTCGACAATGGTGCGGAACCTGTCGGGGAATTGGCAATCAGTCCCGAACAGGATGCCACACTCCCAATATCGGTGCACGGCCAACCTGTCAGTGTAGTGTGCGAGTGTGCGGAAAAAGTTTGGCAGGAGCTTGTCCATGTGCTACAGGACCCGCTGCCGGATCGCTTGCCGCTGCTCTTTGCCGCCATTCTGAATGCTCTGCAGCTGCTGCGTGGGTGTCCTCAGGCCCTGCCACAGGTACGTCAGGGTGTCGTGGTAGCAGCACAGGTATCCGCTGGTGGCCTACTCGACCCATACAGTTATGCGCCGGCTACTGCTCAGGAATGGCTCTTTCCGAGCCTCCTGGTAGAAAAACGTGGTCCTTTCCGTGGGTTCGTTGCGGAGGTGGCTGCTCAGGACGTACATGTGCAGACACTGATCACTCAGCCGTGCCCTTTCGAGCCTCAAGAGCTTCTCCGCTGCGCAGCAGGTGGGTTATCAACGGTGGGAGGTTAGGCGTTTTTGGTGCCTTCTGTGTCTTCTGTTGCATACCCTGGCTGCTCCTTCTCCGGTTAATCGAGCTACATCTCCAGCGACCATACCGCACGCCTTCTGAGGTTGCTTGGCCGTCCTGCCCTGTTGTTCTCCCACCATGGCTGCCGTCGGCTGGGGCTTCCTGGTGTCTACGGGTGTCGATCGCCGACAGTGCCCTCGGCAGACAGGTAGCGGTCAGCCCGGAATCCAGCGGCGAGGGTCGCGTTTCAAGGCCTTGGGCATGCTCTGGTTAATATGCACACCTGTCAACGCTGTGCAAATATGGCCAGCGGGTCGAGCTGGGGATCACACTGTCTATGCTACGAGTGTTGTGCCGGATGTGAGAGCCGCCAGTGAGCTTGCACCGGTTTGTTCGCCGGGCACACCCTACGGGACATCGCGGTTTTTGTGCCAGGCGTGGACCAATGTCCCTTTGTTCTCCAGGCAGATGTCCGGGCGCATGGTGCTTTGTTGTTTCGGTGGATTGGTACCGCGCTTCAGTTGCGTTGGGACCAGTGGCACTTCCGCAGGCAGGTCGAGCTGGTCTCTGCTCTTCCCACCGAGCAATATGTACTGTCGGAGTGGTCTTTAGCCTGGCATCAAGTGCAGATACCTGTCGACCTGAGGCCTATAGGAGGTGTCGTTGCTCTTGCCGAGGTGCACCGTAATCAGCCTTGTGGGCAGGTGATTCAGCATGTTGCATCCATGCAAGGGTGTCCTGTCCCTGCCGATTTGCTGTGTCGTGTAGGGGCGCAATGGTTCACCCCGGAGGCGTACACACTGCTCCTGCCTTTTGGAGATGCACTGCAAGCGTGGTCGTCTCGAAGACTGCCCCGTCCCATGTTTCCGCAGCAGCCGGGAATGCCTTTTCCACTAGCCTGTCGCTGTCTTCGGTTGACGACGCAGCTTTCCATCAGGTTTCAGGCCACAATGCGGTTGTGATTACCAGGCATGGCTTGTATTTTGCTGATGCTCCTAGGTTCGCCGACGCAGAGACCATTCGAGAGGCTGTGCGTCGTGATTACACAGGTACCCCGGCCGGGGCTGAGGCTGCACCCCCATACTTCGAACGCATCTTGCCACCGTTGCCACATCTGCCGGCGATCCAATTTTTGAGTGACTCAGACATTGCTGATCTCCAGCCCTTCGCTCTTGACCTTCGGCCCGTCGGGGAAGGGATTCATGTTGCCGCCTCCTTGGCCCAGGACCCGCCGATTGCCAGATTGCATCTTGTACTCGAACGACTAGGCCAAATGCCTGGTGGCCAGGCTATCTCTGCCGACCTTGCGCAGGGCGGGCTGACCTTCCTGCATAATGAGCAGTGTGTTCCTGCCGAAGCGCCCTTGATGGTAGATGGTGCTGTTGTGCTTACAATCATGCGGCTTGCTGCTCGTTCCAGTGCGGAGGATGCCCTAGAATCCGGAGTCGGAGTCAGAGCCGGACATGCTGGCTTTGCTTTTTCCATGAGCCTTGGCCTTTCCACCCTCACATGGCGACAATGCTCCCTGTTTGTATTGTTGTGGGGGATGGCGAGTGCTACTTTCCTTCAGCCAGAGGCTCCGCCGAGAAGGCCCCTGATACCGGTACACAAGCAGGACGAGTCTGATAGGTTTTTCCCACCCCCTTCCGGTTTAGCTTCGATCGGGGAGCATAACAGGCTTGCCTCGCGTCTTTTACATTTAGGTGAATGGGATCATGCTGACTGGCGCCAGCCGCCTCCATCTCAGTCTGCGTGTTTTGCGTTTAGCGTTTATTCCCCAGGTGGCCTACACGGGTTTGTTGTACAAGGAGATACGCCAGCCGTGGATGTGAGACAAGCACTGTTGGCGGCGGGAGGCCTTAGTGGCAGACAGATGCCTGTCTTGGCACAGCCTCAGCTACTAACACGTTCTGTGATACTTGTGGCTCCGATAAGAGATCCTGACTTGGTTACAGTTCTTGTTGACGTCGGCACGAGCATTGTCTGTCTTGATGTCGGTCGTGGCCATTGTGGAACAAGTATCATGCAAGCCTTGGCTCTTCTGTTCCCTCACTCACTCTTCCGTCTGGAGTTCAACGGGCCTGTTCCTCTCCGAAATGGGGATGTTGTGGTAGCACGCCTTGATCAGGCTGTTACCATGCCAGACATGGGAGCGTGGTCCCTAGCCAGCAGGATTTCTGTAGGGGCTATGTGGTTGGCGCCTCATGTTCCCGTGTATTTGACCACAGCCGACTCTCCTCTGCAGTTGCTGCGTGTCCCTCACGGTTTTACCAAGTCGCAACTGCTGGAAGCGACGCTGGATTGGTTTGGTGTCCCCGCTGACAAGCACGACTTTCTTCGCCTTCCTCTGGACTTGTCAATGGCTGACCTCTATTGTTGGATTAAGCCAGGTTTGAGTACTCTCACGGTGCTGCTGACAGATGTGTCGGATTGCAGCGGTCGCCCCGTTGTGCAAACTGTCGCTGTTGACAGCCACCAGGCACTCACTGTAGGGGCCCTCACCACGCCAGGCCGGCCACAGACGGTGTTTTGGCAGGATGTTTTGGCCCGCCAGCCAGTGGTTTTACGTTACTTTGCGTTATCGCCCGAGCAAACCAAAACTGGCCGCCATTTTGTGTTCATGCATCTCGGTGTTGACTTCTGCCGTGCCGCAGCACATGGTTGGCGACTTAGTCAAAGTGAAGGTACTGCAATCATTGACATGACCCTGCTTCAGCTGCATCATTTTGGCACGAGTGTTGACCTGCAAAGCCCTGCTACTTTCCATGACAAGCCTCTGCTTTGGCCTGCCGCCGCGAGACCCGTTTCTCCGAGTTATCTTCTCAAACGTCGTGGGGCCAAGGGTTGTACGCCGGCTATCATGCCCTCTTCGACCGGCCAATCCAGGCAATTGCCGTGCCCCTCCCACGGGGTGGTCTGCAGTGCTCCGTGCCCAGGGGATTTCCTTCTTTGGGCCATTCGTGTGGGTGAGTGGGTCAAGGTGGCCTGTACCAGCGCAGTTGAGTGGCAACATGTGATGTGGTTAGGGGGGCTTACGTCCTGGGACATGCCAGGAGTAGCGGTGCACGGTCATGATCAAGTTTGGAACTGGCCTGCAGATCTTTCTAGCCTGGCAGGCCAATGCGGTCATTTGATGCAAGAGGGACAGGATCCATTTATCTGCGATGTTAGTAGAGGCTTGCTTTTCCGCCTTGGCACTCCCCCCAATGTGACACATGGGGATGTCATCAGTACGGCCGTGTCAGTCGCTCTGACCAGACGTCGTCTCCCCTTCTCTCTGGCTCTCTTCGGCCTTAGCCTCCTTCTTGCTCCTGTGGCCCAGGCTATGGCCCCGGATCTGAATTCTGAGGAGGACACATGGGAGGAACCTACTATCGTGCCTCAGTACAACTCCTCTCCTACGTTCAGTCGGGCCTGGTGTCATGAGCTGTCTTGCCAGACCACTTCGTGTGGGGTTAGCGCTTTGCAGCTACATAGTCATTGCCAGCGAGTTGCACCGTTCCGTACGGTTCGGGTCATGGTATGGGCACCCTGTGCAGGGCCAGGGGTTTTTGATTTCCCCACTGACCGTCCGGTCGAGGAATTTCAACTCCTTCTGCGAGAAGCGGGGTTCCATGAGGAGGACTGCATGCTTCATGTCGCTTTCGATACTCAGCCCAATAGTCTTGAGCTGATTTCTTGCCCTCAGGGGCCACAAAAATGGTGGATCGTCCGTGATGGGCTGTCACGTGAATTGTTGCGTCCTGTCCTTCCGTGGACGGATGACACGGGCCGCCGCGTGCTCACTGTCAACTCACACGGACAAGCACAAGGCCTCACATACTCGGAGGAAGCTAGCAGGATGAATCTGTTGCCTAATGGGGTGCGAGCTGTGATCACTTAACCGGTCTCCCGTATGACTGGTCGCCTTGTCAGCGGCCGGCTTGAGCTGACCACTCACGCCATTGGCACTTTGTCAGCGGCGTTGATGTTGCCTCATTCGGCCTGGACCGTCAGACTACTCGTGCTGTGTAGCTTGTTCTGGCAGGCCTCTGCCATGCAGAATGATTTGGCATTGCGCTCCTCTTCTGCCAATACGGGTTGGGTTCCACAAGTCCCGTTGGTTGTGCCATCGCTTACACGCATTTGGACGTCTACCTTGGCAGCCCCGACAGTAGTTACTTACCATGAATGCCAAGATCCGATCGCCATAGCTAACAGCGTGGCTAATACTGCTCGCGGCCTCGCGCCAGGTGGAGATTTTGTGTGGACCACCCCTCGCATTGTGCAAGGGGTTGCCCACCTTCTTCATGTCCCGTCTGGGTCCGCACCTCCGATGCTATATTGGCTCATGCACTATCGTGGGCGAGCTGCGGTTATGGGTACTTCCCGTGCGGTGTTTGATTGGCAACAAGTCGGCCAATTTGCTGCGGAGGAATTCGGCCATGCCTTCTTTGGGCAGGGTCAATTTGCCGTGTGGCACGGCGGCAGGGTCATCAGCTTTGGCTCGCAGGTCCCGGCGCCTGCGCACGGTACTATTGTCACCCTTGTGCGCACAGCTCCAATCCACACTCCAGGCCTCACTGCATGGGATACTCCGTCCGAGTCTGCCGCTGCCTTTCATTTTGAGTACGATATTTGCCGTGGTCCGGGTGGCGAAAGCCCCATTGCTGGAGAGCTTTGTGCGCATGTCGGCCCACTTGGGCCTCTTAGAGTGCAAAATGAGGAACACGGGGCTGTCGAGCGTGGACGGGCCGGTCCTAGTCGGGTTCGGCGCGAGGCCTCACCGGCTCCCGCCTTAGTCCGCCAGGTTAATGAAGTGAGTCACCAGCTCACTATGCTTCTAACCCGTTTAGAATCTGTGGGGGTTCTTCCACCTGCTGAGCCGACCCCTGCTGAAGAGGGGCCTGTCTTCCGCGGCACAGAGCCGGTCGAACATGTTGATGGTGGGGAAGACAGCAGGGCCGCCTCCTGGCGACTTGGAATGCCGTGCCTTAGTCTCGCTTTGGCCCATTGGTCTAAGGGTACCATGGGGGGGTTCTGTGCTTTGCTCTTATTTAGACCGGTTCTAGTTGGAGCGAGCAACAGTTCTGCGGATGAAGAGCAGCCTCCAAGCCCGACTGAGCATTCCGCCGAGGCGCCCCCTACCCCTGGTGGCGAGTTACTAGGTCCTGACCATAATGGGGGTGCGCTTCTTCGGCCAAGCCATGATCCGATGATCCTGGTGCCAGCACTGCAGTACCGAGTGATGCTGCCGCTCCTGCTGTGCACCGCTTCCAACCGGCTCTGATCCCTGGGTTGCAACAGAGGGTTGCCGCCTATTTGCAAGGCGTAGGAGCTGAGCCTGCCGGGCCCAGGCCCTTCCTTCCTGAGGGATGCCCCTTGCTTATACATAATCCTTTCACTCAGAGTGATCAATGCCCTGCGTTGTCCCCTTTGCTGGGAACTGGTTTCTCATTTCAGCTGTTTCTGCAGGACTACGCCCGCCGTCGTGGCTGGCAGCCTATTGTGGCAGTGCAGCCACAACCCAATGATCAGGCAATCCATCTGATTCCGTCGGCAGCCGACAATTCCCTGGTATCTGTTGTCCTTTGCACGGCGCAAGCTGTCCGGTCCATTTGCTTGCCTAGGGTCCTCCCGGTCGGGCCCAGTCGTTCCATCACGGTGGAAGGTCGTTTTGGACGCCTACGAGAACCTTACCCGGTCCGACGACTTGCGGAACGGCCGGTGTATCTGCGCGATGGCGACTGCATTTGGATCAGGGCCCCTTTGGGCCACCTCCGCCAGAGCCGGTTAGGTCGGGCAGCAGCCACATACGGCCGTTGCTCGGTGTGCTTCTTGTTCTGCGGCCCTCTCTCTTTACATGGGTGATTATGATACAGGCCGCATTCATTCACGGAATGCAAGTTCACCATGAAGGCCGCACCGCCCCCCTCCGAGACGGCGTCATGATTCGCAATTTCCCGTGGCGAACCCTTCCGCATGAGCGACACCTTACCACTGTGGCACTGCAAGGCCGTGTACGCTGTTCTCTGTTGTGCCCTATGACAGGCCCGCAGGGCGTGCATGAGAGTCCAGCTTCAGCCACCCAAGCGGCGGTTGTTCGGCATTACCAGCAGACCAAAGGACCGTGGATCCGTGACTTGATCCCGGTATGGCCCAGTCTCAAGCGGGATCAACTGGTGTTTGTGCCGGATGTTGATCCAGTCCGCCGCTGTGTTTGTGTTGTGTTTTGTGAGGCGTCTGGCTGGCGCTCGCTGCTCCTTCCTGACAGATGTGGGCTGCGCATGCTCTCCGCTATGCTCACTTACCTCACGGGTCGTGATGTACGTGACATTGGCCTGCCTCCTGCAGTTCAAGCGGCCACTGAACGCTCTGTACACAGAGAAGTGGTCCTGCGACCAGCTGATGTCTTGGTAGAAAAACCACGGCTGTGTAGGCGTGTAGCAGATTGGCCGATACACTCGCTCACCCTCTGGGACCACATCCAATGGGCCGAGCCATTTGTGGTGGCGGAAGCTAGCATGGCCGCGTTTTGGCACCCGGCAATCAACCGCCCGATTTTTCATGCGATCCAAGCTGGTGCTCGGTGGGACCCTACACTGCTTACGTTTGGAGGGGACTTTCAGGCTGCCTTTCTAGGTAAATGGGTACCGGTGATGTGGCAGCCAGCTAGCTGTCCGCACTTTATACAGGCATCGACGCGACCCGGCCGAGTACATATTTTGCATGAAAGCCGTGAAGGGGTGTTTCCGATGTTTTTCACAAGCCGCACTTCTCGTGCGGAAGTTGCTGAAGAGCTGCATACACTTCCGGAATATGTGGAGGTGCCGTCTGCTACCTTGGATGATATTCAAGGGCCTCTCACATTGCGAGATGGGGACGTCGTTCTCGACCTTTACATGTACGACCGTCCCCACCAATCATGTTGGGAGCCAGTCTGCAGCAGTAGCCTTCAAAATGTGGTCACTGCCTTGACGTGTAGTATGCTACTGGTGCGGTATCCGCTTGCCATGTGGAGTTGTTTCCTACCCGCTATGGTCGCTACCAGACGCACCGGCCTTGAGTCTAGCCTGTCGCGATCGCGCTCATCTTCCTCAGAGCGGCTTAGCCCACGAGCAGGTGCCTGGAGGCCGGAACACCCGCAGCCAATGTCGGAGGTTCTTTCTACAGGCAAAGGACACTACCATGTTATCTCGCCTTTCCATGGGGTCGGGCCTCCGGCATACTTTTTCCATGAAACTTCAGGGGTTTCTTTGGATAAAGTTCTACGGGATCGCTGCGGACAGTGGAGTAGTTACCATGTCTTACAAGCGCCTGTGCTCGAACGTCGCCCCATGTATCTCCTTCCGGGAGGTCAGTCTGAGCTCGCCACTATTCTGGTGTACGCGGCCGACCAGGTGCGAGCCTTGCTTGTCCCCAGAAAATTTACAGTGCGCGAATTGACAGCCTTTCTCCGGCAGTCGCTTCCCACTTTGGGGACCTCCTTAAGGACACCACCTGCTCTGCGCCAGCATAAGGAACTTCCGAGCATGCACTTGCATCTGGGAGATGGAGACACATTCGCCTGGCATTTAGATTTGGATCACCCGCTTTTTCATGAGTCTACGGTGCACAGTTTCCGGTGCCCTGCCTGGTTGCCGCATCACAACCCGTGGCACGCGGGCTTTATTCTCCGACATGGGGGCTGGGTTTGGCTTTGGACGTCTGATGGACACCCAGACACCCAATGCGAGCGTCATTGGCTTGATAGTGGGAGCCAGTGGCATCCCGGTTCGTTGCAATTTGTTCGACCCAGGTGTGCTCCCACGGCAGAACGTTGGGTACCGGCTGGCTATCACGAGGATGGCCGTTGTCATTTTGTGCGCCAGTCGGTCGCGGGCTCTGCTAGAGTTTTGCTGCATCGTCCATACAGCGGAGAATATCCGGAATGCTGCCTTATTGAGCCGGACAAGGGAGTGTGCACAGCCCCAGACGGCTGGTCTCTGGCACCGTCTCTTCGCCGTCGGATGGGCGAAACCGTTTTGCGAGATGGTGATGTACTGGTGCCGGCGCAGTCGGCAGTTACCCGCCTGTCCCCTGCTATTGGGTGGGCTCTCTTGGCAGGCCTGAGTCGGCGGGCGGCAGCAGCTTTTCTTCTGTCAGGCATCTGGTGGTCACGGGCCTCTGCAATGCTTGTCCCGGACGAAGGCCGTGTGGTCCTTACAGTTCGTACAGGTAAGTTTCCTTGGCGTGTTGATTACGCCGACCGTGCACTTCATGAGACGGTGCAAGAAGGCCAACGCTGTCGTCTTCTGTCGCCTTTTGCCGTGCAGCCCAACCAGACCTTCGAAGCTAATCCTGACGATACTGTAGAAGAGGTTAGGCTGGCACTTACTGGCTCGGAACCGGCCTGGTCATTTGACCTTACGCCAGTTTGGCCGTCACCATCCCCGCTTGAACTTACGCTTGTTCCGGTAGCGCCCGCACCGTCACTTGCATGCGTGCTTATAGTCACACCGGATTGGCAGCTGCCGATGTTGATTCCACAGCGGGCAGACGCTAACTGGGTGCTTGCATATATTCGTAGTGTGTCTCCGGGACCGGTGCACGGGATTAAGCCTCCCCTCGGAGCCCAGCCGCACGGGGCAAGTCACAATGAAGCTGTGAATTGGAGAGACGGGGATCTGCTGTTGGCTTTTCCCACTGACATTGAGTTCAGCGCTATCGATATGCCGGCCTTCCGTGCAGCAGTTACCTCAGATGTTGCTGCGCATGTTCGTCATACGGCACTCTGGTCTTTGGACTTCTATGTCGATGTTCCGCTTGACATTGTCTTGTGGCGGCCAGGGAAACGCCCAGTCGCGACCAAGGTCCCGTCTCCGGTCTTGTGGTGTGCCGCCGACAGACAGTTTAGCGGAGCCTTTTCACATAGGTATCCTGGCCGTTGGGTTCCTCTGCCGTGGGTCTATACTGACACGCCACACCTGTGCCTTGCACCTGAGGTTGACGAGCTCAGGACCATTGTCATTGAGACCTTTCAGAATGGGCGCATTGTTGGTTCCTGTCACGTGGTGCATGCCTGCGCTAATGCGGATACATGTCGTATCCTGGCAGACCGTATGGACGCGCCGTGTCATCTGCTGGGTGCTACACGGGATAAGCCATGGGATGAGCTTAGGAATGGGGACTTAGTCCACTTTCCGGAAGTTGGTTGTAGTCGAACCATTTGCCCGCAATGGTTGACTGTGTTGATACTTGCAGCAGGCCTAGGGGACTGCCGTCTCCGCGTGTGGATGGCGGCGCTAGCTGCAGCCTGGCAGATACCCTGGTGCGAGGGAACGGGGGTCAATGTCGGCCGCCACTCCCGCCCGACCCCAGCGTGCTACCTTTGGTGTCCGTATCGGGGTCGTCTGTGCCACTACGATAGGCACAACCATGGGGGGGAAAACGTAGTAGCAGGACTCTGGGAAACTCGCTGTGTAGCCCTACGACCTGCCCAGTCGGGAGGTGGGCTCCAAGGGGTCACGGCCCCAATCCTGAGTGACCTTGCGACGGTGGTTGTGACAGGGCCTCCCGCACCGCGAGCACTCCTTCTGCCGCGTAGCATCACTTTGCAGCAGCTATATGAATTCCTCCGGCCGAAGTTTGGTACCTTTTCTCGGGTTGTTGGTAACCTGGTCTCGCTAGGTCGGGGTGGAAACGATCTATGCCTACAGGATGGCGATTGTCTCCAGATTGTCGGGAACTGTTGGGCCCCATCGCTCCGGACAGGCTCTGAATCCTCCTTTCCCTCGGTGGAGGCCGCTGTTCGTCTGGGTCTGTGGGGCAAGCCTCTAGGCATACAAGGGCCTGGTCAATGCCTCCTGTGGCGTCGCCCAGGTATCCTACATAAGTTGTTGGACTTTCAAGACCCCCAGACATGGGACCCTGTTCAAGGCCGCCTTCTTCCGTGTATGGCTTCCGAAGAAGAGAGCTGGTGGCCGAATCTCGATAGTCCATGTTTGTCCAACACCCTCTCGTTTTGGCCCACTGATTTTGCTCAGCAACAGGAATGCCATCGTGCCCCGCGCGCAGCATCCTTCGACAGAGTAGGTTATGCGTCGGCTTCCGAATCTAGCGAAGCCACACCAAGCAAGCTCCTTGTGGGCCTCAGCCTCATTGTCTCCAGTCAGTACTGGACGTCGCACCCCCAGCCCCGTGCCGGCTTTCGCACTACTTGGTTCGTGCTTGCGCTATTCCTGTGCTATCTTGCTGCATGGGGCGCACCTGTAAGTTGGTGCCGAAGCGACTCGCATCAGTGGAACTTGGACTTACAGAGTGTCTGTCATCTCCAAGCGGCGTTGCATCAGGGATGGTGGCAATTTGGGCTTGCGGATGCTTTGCCTAGTGCTCTCCCTGCGTCGTACCATGCTGCCTGGGAGATGGAAGCCCCCTTCGGGCGCGGCCCACCTGATAGCTTGCTCATTTCCACAGACGGATCGGGCAGCTCCTCCGGTGCGTGGGCTTTTGTGGTTTGGGGCAGGCGTAGACAGTGTTGGCGTCGTCTTGGATGGGCCGCTGCATCACTGCCAGCTACTCCTTGGCTCCCGTCTACCTCCCGGCAACCATCCCCGGCTCAGTGTTCATACCTTGCTGAACTAGCTGCATTACAAGCTGCTGGTCACTGGTGTACTGCGATGTACGACTTCTGGCAATTGCACACCGGCACCGTGCCGAGTTCTGTCACTATTGCCGTAGACAACGCATCCGCCCTTCAGGTAGCCGCAGGCAGTGGTTCGGTCAGTGGCATGCAAGCACGTTGGACAAGGGCGGTATGGCAGTCGGTACAGTCTCGTACTTGCACTCATTTTCGACATGTGCATAACCATCAAGGGGTGTATGTGAACACATTGGTGGACGCACTGGCCACTTGTGCGTGCAAAGGAGGCTATGACCATTGGTTGCAAGCCCGAGCTTTCAGGTTGCTCACCACATGGAGGGAGAACTACTTGAATGGCTGTGGGTGGTGCCCAGGGCCATACTGCTAGATGGCAGGCCGTGTTTCCCCTTTCCGGTAGGTACACCCGACTGGCTACCACCTGAGGATGCTGCCCCTGCACAGGTAGATGCGAAAGACCAGACCGCGTCGCCGCCGGCTGTTGGCCTGCATCTGCTTACTGCCAATATTCAGTCTATAAAGGACCCTGGCCCGAATCCTTTGAATCCTTCGGGACACGGCGCCCGTCGCCAGCACCTTTACAGTCAGCTCCAGGCTATGCAAGCCGACGTGATCTGCTTGCAGGAGACGCGCGCTCCGGCAGGCCGCTGGGCAACGGGCGGTTGGTTGACCCGGCGCTCAGGCGGCCAGAAAGGCCAGTACGGTTGCGAGATATGGCTGAGGCCATCGCTTCTCCACCCTCCGCTGACCTTGGACTCTTGCCGCATTCTAGAGTCTAACCCTCGATGCCTCGTGATTACATGCACAGATCCTCGGCTCCCTGTCACTTTCTGTTCAGCGCATGCACCACACGCTGATAGGCCGCCATCTGAGGCAGTCCAGTTTTGGGCGGATCTACGCAATGTGCTGCAACGGGCACCGTCGTCACGTGCTCTGGTAGTTGGTATCGATGCAAATGGAGACTTTTGTGCCCGGGACCCCACAGAGAATCTGATTGGTTCCTTGGTAGCAGCACATGAAGCGACATCGAACGATGAGTTCCTCTATGAACTAGCCACTGCCCTTGCCCTGGAGGCACCTGCCACATTCAGTGATGTCCAAGTGGGAGCGGGATGGTCGTGGGAACATACCAGTGGCCGCCGTAAGCGACTAGATCACCTACTTTTCAATGCAGGGTCGTGGGCGCACCAACAAGCGTGCCAGGCCTGGGATTTCGATATCGTCAATTCCCACCGTGACCATGTCGCCCTCCGGGTCCGTACACAGGTCCACCCGCGCGTGGTTGCCGTTGTCAAGCCGCGACGCAGAAAGTGTACCGGCGCAGAGATCCTCGCTGCAGGAGAGTCCATCTGGAATAGCCTTCCAGACGACTTATTGTCTGGGCGACCGTGCGGTGCGGTTGTGCACTCCCTAATCCAAGGTTTTAGGCGTTGGGTCCACGAACTCCCTTCAAAACCTCCGGTGCAGCCCAAGCAGCCCTACATCCAAGAATCTACTCTGTTGTGGCTGAACCAGCTGCGTGATTGGCGCTGCCAAATCCGCCATGCGAAGCATTCGGTGAAAGATGCTGCTAGAGCATTAGCCTTAGCTAAATGGAGTCGTAGACTCAGGCCCCTTCGAGTTGAGCGTAGGCGTGCACATCACCATCAATGCCTCTATGCTGCTGCTTTAGTTGAACAGGAGCAACGTCTCCAGCAACATGTCCATCAGTTTGCTAAGCGGGACAAAAGCTCACATTTTCTGTCCTTGACTCTGTCTGCATCGGAGCATTGGCATACTCATGGCCGGCCAATGGATGCGATTACGCATTTGCGATGGGCCTCACGGCGTGCAGCGGAGCGTCGACAAGTCTCGGCAGCAGGAGGCTTTGCCATCGAGCCCCAGCTCGAAGAACAGTTTAGGGCCCAGGAGCAAGCGATCAAGATTCCATCTGGGCGTCTGGCACACACTGTTCAGCCGTGGCTTGCTGAGGCCGCGCCCATGTGCACGGGTGCTATGCCTTCTCTCATCGATATGGAAGTCGCATGTCGACGCCAATCTGCACGTAAAGCTCCAGGTCCGGACGGAGTCATCAATGAGCTCTGGAAGGGTTTTCCAGCGAAGGCTGGTAAGTGGCTTTGGGCTGTGACAGCTAAGATCGCCCTTACCGGTAAAGAGCCCTATCACTTCAAAGCAGCGGTATATTGCGCGCTGTACAAGAAGGGGCCTGCTGCACTACCCCAAAACTATCGAGCAATTGCCTTGCTCAACGGGGTCGCCAAGATATGGCACGGGCATCTTCGACGTACTATTGGGCGTAATATCCTTGCAGGGTATGACCCCATGCAGCTGGGAGGCAGGCCAGGGATTCCGGTAGGCTTTGCACTCGCGGCCTATAGGTCCGTAGTTGACCTGTGTGTGCAAGCCCAACACAGCACTGCTACCCTCTTCATAGATGTACAAGCTGCATACTATGAAGTTAGCCGAAGGTTGATCTTTCATGGCGAGGCCTTGGCCGATGATGCAGCGGCCCGACCTCCCGACACATGGCACCTTGCTGCCCTGGCAGAGCATCTCGCCAACACAGGTGCTCTCGAGCTTCTGGGTGTGCCTGCTGAGGAAAGAGCACTCTTTCAGGACTGTGTGGCCTACTCACATTGGCACCTCGCGGGCTCTGAGAGCATTTTCGTGGCCTCCCGTGGCTCGAGACCAGGGGACGGTCTGGCAGACATCCTGTTCGGCGCACTTTTCGCAGTTGCACTGCGCCATATCCGCCAGGCCTGCAGTGAAGCTGGAGTATCGCTTCAGGCTGCAGGCGCTTTTGTGGGCCTGCGAGAGGAGGTGCTCCCGCTCGGATGGGCCGATGACCTAGCCATCGTTGCCGATTTTCGTACACCGCAGTTGCTCGAGTTGCAGTTGCCGGTCTTTGCCAGCATTGTGCTCTCAACACTGGAGTTATTGCGCTTTCGCATCAACTTGGGCCCTAGCAAAACTGAGTTCCTTCTTGATGTCCGTGGTCCCGGGGCGAAACATGTTCGCGGTGAGTTGATGGCTCCCCCGGCAATCCTCCGACTAGCCAGCCAACACGAGATTAGAGTCTCTCCTGAATATCGCTACTTAGGGGTTATTACCACCCCTAAGGATACTGGCAGACGCGACATGGAGTTAAGCGCGCAACGTGCTCACGCAGCGTGGGCCCACGCAAAGAGCTTGTTAGCCTGTGCCTCACTCCCATGGCGGTTGAAGCAAGCGTGGGTTGCAGGTAGGGTTCTCCCTGCGGCATACGCCACTCTTGGCACATCCATTGCGGTTTCGGGACGTGCCATGGCGCCCCTGCAGGGATTCTTCGAAAGGATTGCACGCCAGTTAGTTGGATCCTGGCAGTATGGGCATCTTCTTTCGCGTCCTGTCCTCATCCTACTTCTTGGCTTGTCGGCGCCAGACGATGCATGTTGCATTGCCCGGGCGCGACTGGTGTTGCAAGTCCTTAATCGTGAGGCAGGCCACGTTGCTGAGCTGGTCGATGCCGCTTGGAATCGTGCCACTCCTTGGACCCAACTGCTGTTGGAAGCTTGTCAAAAGGTAGCTCGTGGCATCCCCGGTCCTTTTGTGGCCTCCTCAGTCACGATTCGTTACTTGCGGGACAATAATAGGCTGTTGCTTAAAGCTTGCAGGCATGTGAGTCGCTACGGCTCGCCCTATCGAGCTTTCTGCATGCTGTGGAACGACATCACAGTTCCGAAAGTCACCAGTGTCATTGGGGTTCGAGAGCCTCAGCGGTGCCATCTCTGCGACATGTCTCTTCCGAGTCGTCAGGCCCTCGCTGCGCATGTTCACAGAAAGCACTCGGTAGTCAACTGGTTGACCCAGTTCACGAACGGTACGGTCTGTCTCTGGTGCCATGTCGAACAACATTCCACTGACAGACTTAAGTACCATCTTGGCCGGGCTCCAGCGTGCATGCATGGGCTGCGGATTGTTGTTGGCCATGCGTATGTGTATGGGACAGGCACCAAGCGGAAAGGACAGCGGGGACATCGCGGTCTCCCACCGTTGCGGCTACCTGGCCCAATCAATGCCACGCCGGCACAGCGACATGCCGCGGGTCTGGGTCGCGAGTGCACTGAGGATGAGCTGCGTCGCGAGCGACTAGCTTGTTTGGGAGTGCAAGGGGTCTATGAATGGCCCAGTGTTTCTGAAGGTACCCGTCCCAACGAGGCGCCAGCTCCACATGTGGCGGGACAGGTTCCAATTGGTCCGCCGACTCCTGTGTTAGAGCCGCCCTTGGCTCAGTCAGGTGACGCTGCAAGAGTGTATACGGTCGTGCAGGATGATGGCGCTTGTGTGGGCCCAGGTGGCGAGCCCAGTCTGTCGACCACGCGTGTCTCACCGCTTTGGCATGCTATTCTGAAACGCAGAGCATGCTGGCGTATCCCGGTGGCTTGGCACCGGTTGTGGGATTTGTGGTGGACCGCACAGACTTCGCACCCCTGGGCGCACGCTGCACGCCGTGGTTTCAAGATGCTGCGGACGGCCCTGGATTCCGAGGAACTACCATCTGCGCGGAGTCCTCCTCAGGCCGTTCACAATTTGCTGGCAGCTACTGTCACATTTCGGTTGATCTGCCTACATGTACAGCAAGGCGCTGCGGTCTTCATTACAGGTTTGCCCAGTGTTAAGGGGCAGGCGCTATGGAGACAGTTGATGCCCAATGCTATTTTGCGTACTTTTAAGTCGCAGTCAGGCCTTGTCTTTTCGGCTGTTCACCCCTCTTGGGCTGCAGATGTTGCGGCTGGTCTGAGTTCCACAGCTGTGCCTTTCGTGCACACTGGTGTAGAGCTCCTAGTCCGTCCTTCGGCCGTTTACCGGTCTTCGGTTTCTGAGGCTAGCGAGTTGTAGCTTGTTTCTCGCTCCTCGCTGCCTCCTTCGTGTTTTTGTAGGTCTCTGTTGTTCCCTGCGTGAGCTATAGCAGCTCCCGTTTTTGGGGTGTATGCATGTTAGACGCTCCGGATTGTCCGCAGTGCGAGTGAGTGAGTGAGGTTTAGGGGTTTAGAGTTTACGGCTTTGGGGATTGCTTCATAGGCTTTAGATGCAAGTCATATTTGAGGGGGTCAGTACAGGGGCCTTGAGAATTAGAATAGGGTTCCTTCAAAAGCGTCTACAAGGGCTACTATAAGGGCTCACAGTTGAGGGAGTTTTGGGTTCTAGAGTTTAGGGCTTAGGGGTTTAGGGGTTAGGGGTTTGGGGATTAAGGCTTCGGGGATTAGGGCTTTAGGGGTCTAGGCTTTAGATGCAATTCAGAGTTAGGGGGTTAGCGGTTTAGGGTTGAGGGGCTTAGCTGTTTAGGTTTTATGGTTGAGGGGTTCAGCTGTTTAGGGTTTAGGGCTTAGGGGTTTAGGGGTTTAGCTGTTTAGAGTGTTAGGGTTTTTAGCGGCTTTTAGCGGGTTTTACGGTGTCAGGGTTTTAGGGCTTACGGTGGTGGGAATTGAGTACCTTAGAGGCTTAGGTTTGAGGGTTTAAGGGTTTTGTGCCATTTTGGGGTTTAGAGTTTGAGCTCTTATGCGGGTCTCAGGGCTTTCATAAGTTTCACAGTTGGCGTTGGGTTGTATAGGCTGTATATGGTTCTGCGGAGTTGCATAGGTTCTTTAAAGAGTTAATGCATGCTTTATAGGAATTTTGATGAGTTTGATTACGCTATAGGGTTTTGGGGTATAGCTTTATATAGTGGCCTATGTGTGCGGCTTGAAACCTTAAACACCAGGGCGCTGACTGCAAAATTCAAGACTTCTGAGATCAAGTCGCTGCAAGCGCAGTCCGGCGAAGCAGTGTCCATTACATCAAAAACCTTTTTAAGGACTTATATAAAGAAATCATAGTAGGGAACCCTAAAAAAGGTAGGCTCCTTAGGGTCCAGGGAATTACCAATTCTAGCAATTTGGCCAAGACAGGCACTGATGGCGCTGACTGCGAAAATCATTTCTGCATCTTCGAGATCAAGTCGCTGCAAATGCGGTCTTTGGTTGGATGCACCGCGTTAGAATCTATAGTCATAGCGCAAAACCAACCCAAAGGGTTCAAACCCTACGTAAGGGTTACCCTACCTTGCAGGCCCGCACCGTGAATGCTAAACTCTACCTTAAACTACCAAACCCCACTTCTTGTAGGTTCTTGTTATAAACCCTAATATGGGATTTTATAGGGACCCTACAAAAAATAGGTTCTAGTAGGTTAAGGTAGATCCTATCGACTTCCTAAGCTTGAAGCCCTAAGGCTACATCCGACAGGCTTCTTGAGCCGTAAACTCTCAAATCATAAGCTTTGCGGCCCAAAGGTCTCGCAAAAAGATCTGAAAGCCTGTAGGAGTCGTATCTGAAAGCCTGAAGCCTGACGTCGTACAGCCTAAACCCTAAATCCCAAACCCTAAACCCAAAGGCCACTTTAAAAAAAAAACCAAAGGCCTAAACCCTAAAACCCACGCAACAGAAGCAGCAACAGGCCATAACGTCGGAGCTCAGTTGCGACAGACTGAAGATGCCCGGACGACATTTGCTGCTTTAGGGTTTAGGGTTTGGGGTTTAGGGTTTAGGGGCTTAGGGTTTAAGGTTTAGGGTTTGGGGTTTAGGGTTTAGGGGCTTAGGGTTTAAGGTTTAGGGTTTGAGGTTTGGGTTTAGTGGCGTTTGTCACAGCATTTATTTGACGGGTGTTGTATGGTGTTGAAAGGAAGTTGTAGCATTTGTTTTTGAAATAGGGTTTCCTAGAGTTGTTCAGGGTTTTTCAGGGCTCTGATATATAAGGTGTACGAGCAACTAGAACCGTCTTTATACTGAATGTGTTGATTATCATAAGGCCTTGGAGGGGTGTGTAACCTATGGGGCCTTAGTACTTGGAGTAGGGTTCTCTTGGCCTAGTAGCTAATGATGTGCACTTATATATGGGTTTCCACAGAAACGAGAACTCGTAGAAGGAATAGGGAGATACAGAAGCCTATATTTTCGTGGTGTAGTCTACTACAGGGGCCTTAGTAATTGAAATAGGTTTCGAGGGTTCGCTATTATAGTTCTAGTATAGTATGCCCCCCAAACCTAATTCTTTCTTATGAAGGGCCCTACATTTCCCCGAAAGACCAGTCTAGCTATTGGGGCCCCTATGGAATCGGGCTTTTCGGACTTCACAGTCATCTTCGTGTTTGTCCACCTTTACAGAAATCCTAAACCCTTACCCCGGAACCCCGAACCCCAAACCCTAAACCTAACTAAGAGTAGCCTTGGAATAAAATGGTGCCTTTTCTGGTTTAAAGGCGGTTATAAGGGAACCTGAACCCTAAAACAGGGAATAAGGGCTTACTCTGGGTCCTAGCTAGTTGTCAGGCTTGCTCATGTTGTCCGGTGTAGGGTTGGAGGCCATGAAGTGGAGTAAAAGGCTGGGCGGCGTCATTCGTGTGGTCATGCAGATCTGCGTGATAACGGTTTAAGATGGTCGCGTATGTTTGTACGTACACACTAGGACCCAGAGTACATAAAGCCCTTATTCCCTTTTTTAGGGTTCAGATTCCCTTATAACACCGTTTAAACCAAAAAGGGCATCCTTGTTATTCCTAGGCTCCTCTTGGGTCTAGTACAATAAGTTCGTATTTATCTCGCTCTCGCTCTTTCGCTTTACCCGAAGATTCCCCACCGCCAAGGCTCCAATATCCCTAAAGCCAGCACGGTTTTGGGGTTTAGGGCTCACGGAATCCCCTGAAGCATATTTAGAAACGCCCTACATCTCTTGCTGTAAGCATTTCAGGCCACAGTTTCGTTGGTTTGGGGATTTGTTTTTGATTTCCGGGGTATGGAATACTAAACGTTTTAGCTTCAAAGGCCTAAACCCTTAACCTTCAACTCGCAGTCATAAGCCCTAGGCTGCAAGCCCTGAACCCTTACGCCCTTCACCCCCCAAAAAAATGGGTTCTAGTGGGTTAAGGTATACCCTAAACTGAGCCAAATCCGAGCCCGCTCCGTCCAAGGGTACCAGTGCCACGCATCCCGTGGCTCGGATCTTGTGTTGGGGCAATTTTTTGGGCTTCGGGGTGTACGCCTTCTCCAAGGCTTCCAAAAAGCGTTTGCAAAGGATTCCATAAGGCGTCTGTGTGGGTTCGAAGAAGGTTTCTCTAAGTGTCTCTAAGGGTTCTATCCGACTATCCGGGTTCGGCAAGGTTCTATGAGGGTTCTAGAATGCTATACCGCTATACGAGGTTCCGCACGATTCTGTCAGGATTCCCTCAGGT